GTTGAACGAACTTCATCAGGCTTAAACCGAAGAATTTTGCTGGCACATCATATCAGGAGCTCAGAAAAACTTTTAGCCAGCTCTATAACGTTCAAGGCAAGCAGTCGTACAGTTCCACAGAAATCCATTCACATTACAATTCTTGCAGGTTTCACCCAAGGGCCCCTTTTTGTCCTGAAATTTACATTTTCCAACAAAACACCGTGGGCCTTAGTTTTCAGCAATAGTCTTTCATAGAATAGCCTGAACAGGAGACTTTCTCTAACCAAGCACAATAATGTCTTGAGGGTGGGCAATGATAATCAGTTTTAATATTGTGATTTTGTGTACTTTGCCAATAAAAAATAATGCAGATCCGCTATGTCTTTCTATCCCCTACAGCCCCTCCATCTTTTTTAATGGGATTGTGTAGGAATTCAGGTAAAATAAATATAATTAATTCAAAGCCCCACAGAATAGACCACATCAGTACACAGGGGTAAAAAAATGGAACTGACAGTGGGATCTAGTGAAGTCGCTGCTTCACCACTGGCTAGGGGACTTTTCGGGCATTGCCTGTTCAGAGACAAAGGCTTCTCGGATGGATCATCAGCTGCCATTTTGTTTTATAGAGGAATGGTATATTCACACGTGTGTTGAGAACGAACGTGTGCATTTAGAACTGAGACCTCTTCGTGTAGCAACGAGAATGCTTAGTTGTGCTTTTTTAATCAGGGAAACAGCTCAAGCTCTTCAGAGCGGACTGAATTGGGGGCGTTTTCAGCCAGAGCTGGCTATGCATGGGACTTGTGCAGATAAGTGACCAGTGAAGCAGGGAGGAGAGGGGACCCTGCACGTTTGAGAAGAGGAAGTCGAGCGGAACAGGCCCAGTGTGTCCTCAGGAGGTGCAGCCCTGCCCTGGGGTCACCAGCTCCCCTCCATTGCCTGATTGCTGCTTCCTGCCAGAGGCGGGGGAGGAGGGAGGGGGGGACAGCAGGCGGGGCGCACCATTCCGCCACTCATCTCCCTTCCCCAGGGAAACAAACCTCCCAAAGGTTCCTCCCAGGCCGAGGGCCAGAACTCCGAAACCCTGCGATTATTAATGCTGTAAACATCAGAAGCCACGTTAAAAGTTAAAACATTTTAGTCTTCAAAATAGCACCAGACACGCTCAGTTAAGACACGGGCTGTTTATATGATGTTCATAG